CTTGTTGTCTTATGAACACGTTTAGAGATACTTTTCACGATGAAAGACAGTTCAAAATAAGAGCCTTATGCTCGTTCCTACCAATATCGATCATTTAAACCTTAATCTGAATTTAAGTCTGTGAATTTGAGTTAAACTCGAGTTTAAATTAAAGTTAAGTTAATGTAAGAGTTAAGTTAAAAAATAGAGTTTAAACTCGGGCTAAGATTTAATCGACGTTGGTAGAAAGAGGCATTAGTCACGAGGCGAATACGAGAGGTGATCGTTGTGTTACGCGTGATTTTTCTCGCGCGAGACAAGTCTTAGACAAAATGCACATAAAACGCAAGACTGCAAACAGTTCGTGATGATTAATCAGACGATGAGACCGACAAGACACATTCGGGATTATCACGGTGCCTGCAGATACATACTCGATCTCGTCAAATCGATATGTCCCTTTGCACTCATAATCTAATAATCAAAACATAATAATATTGACTTTTCAATCAGTTTATCGAAAAACTGTCAATCAGTAATATTGAGACTTTATGGAAATTGATGCGATAACATTGAACACGCTAATTACATCTCGACATGTGTACACGTAATATTTAATATTATAAATAATATTGTAAGTAAATATCGCAACGTCAACTTCATCCTACGCGAGTCGCAGTAATTTTGCACGATTGCACAAAGTTGCGATTCCGTGCAACTTAATTTCAATTGATTCGGATCGCGATAACGTTATCGACGAGGGCAAAGGGTCAATATCTTATTACTAAGAACAAGTAACCAAGTGGCACTTGGGGAAAGACGAGCTGACTTTTAACAAGAAAGCTACTCACTGCGCCGCGACAGCGCTATGTTCGGTTTTTTAAGTCATCTACGGAGAGAACGGTGAAGTTTCCAGCACCAGTACCGATTGCTACGACCTTAGCGCGTTCCATGGGTTCCGCACGGCAGACTAGCCAGATAAATGAATCGATTAACAAAGTCGCAATAGTCGAAATTTGGTGTCGAATCGAGTTGAGCCGAGACAGACAAAACGAAGATGGGTGACATGTAGTTCTTATCTTAATAGTTTCTTGGATATTAGAGGATTGCTACGAGAGGTCTACGAGATCAAGATCTACGAGGAATCGATTGCATCGATCTCTATGGAGCTGTGGTTCATTGATGTGCACACCATGACGGAGAACGGAGAAAGGCAACGGTTTCGGGAGTTCCAAGATTGAAATGTACACGAATGGACTGCGCGTGTATTATGTATTTTGCAAACTAGACTGATTCTGAAATTCCGAAACTACGGCGAGATAACCTGAACACCGTCTGTTAATGTTATTTTATACGTTAATGTTACTCTATGTACTCAGTGGCAAGCGAATAGCGAACTACCAGCACAACTGAAGCGCATCAATCGCACATTCCCGAAAGCGTCTTGAATACTTCGTCTTGTTAAATAATCAAGAGTACAAAGAGAAGCTCTCCGCGCCGCTCAACGTCGACCAAGCGCGCGTTTCATATCGTTAATCTCTAGTCAAAAGAAGCGAAAAGACGAAAATTGGTCGACGATTACCGGCACTCCGCAGCAAATTAAACTACCCTACAATCTCCGGCTCTGTTTCGCTGAAAATTGAAAACAAACTGATCAGTCTGACAGTTGTGCTGCTTGCGAACATGTCTTTCTTTTTACATGCGATATCTTCAGTAAGAGAATGGGGGGATCGAGTAAATTTAGAGATGAGTGATGAAAAAGAGAAATAGACGCTAAGGGAAATGACGAAACATGATATGAAATATCTAATGGGTTATCTCGCATATAAATGTTCACCAAATTTTATCGATTTGGAGAGCACAATACTCTGGTATGATAACAAATAAATTTGGTGAGTAATTTTTAAATAGTTCTAACTACAGGCTTGAAAAATATTATGTCGGTTACACGAGGAGGTTCCACACTTTTTGCACATTTGTGATTGCAAGGGCAGGGAAGCCATAATTACCTCTATATATCACTAGCTAGAAAAATGAATAAACTTATACAGCGGGGTGAATGGATGAATGATGAGATGTGCAAAGTAAAGCGCTACGTGAGACTACGAAGCAGTTTCAGAGGGGTTAGAAGCATTTCGTCACGTGGTCTCCATAGTCCCCCATACAATTGCTCCCATCTAAATGGAAAATTAATGGTTTAATTATCGTCGTGGCAGAAACAATGGTGTTATCAACGTAATGCGTTCATAGGAACGTCTCGTTGGATCCTATCAGCTAACGCAACACCTGTTCAAAATCGCTGACCTGTGGAAAAGAAGGTCGCGGCGCGAAAGTGTGGAACATAAGTTATTTTAACTTCCTAAATTACATTAAAATCTTACATTCCCGGAAGAGTATTCCTGCAATAAGGTGCTTTTCTTTATCACTTTTGCGCTAAAGCGTTATTGAATTCTAGCACCTTGGAAACCTCTTCCATTTTTTGTAACTCGTAAAATAAACACGTGAAATTAAAGCTAACTTTTCTCTAGGGGGACATTCTAAACCATTTTTGTGCGCAAATAACGACTTCTCATTCTCGAGAATGACACGACTTTCGTTCCACCGGATTATCGATTATCTGAGATTCAATGATAAACTGAAAAATACTGTTAATCGTCCGCGTCGGGACGCTCTTTGTGTACTTACTCCTATCAATGTTGCGTTGCAGATGCGCAGCTACGCGATGTCTAGCGTCATTGAACTCCAGGTGCAACCCGAGTCGCAGCAACGTCGGGTTTTGTTCCACCAACTGTGTGATCTCCATCTCAATTTTGTTGCCCAACACCTGTGACCTCTGAAAGATAAAGATGTTGCAGAGTGAGATTTCGTTATCATCTCGTTGCATTTAGATGATACTTCAACTTTCATGCCGCGTGACTTACCTGATTCGAGCATCGGAACTCTTCAATGGATTTTGTCTTGAGAAGGGCTCTGATGAGCCTTACTATCACAGGCGGACTTATGAAGTTTGTCTCCACGCTGAAAAATACAAACTGAACATTGAGACACGGAACGAATTGACGATTCTTGAAGGAGAATCTCTTTCGACGAAGATTTCTCACGCGCGAGCTTACGAGATATACGCACTTGAGTACTCTGAGTGTCGAATTCTTCTCTACAGCGTCTGCCAGCCGTTGCGCAGTCTTGTCGTTCAGCCCGACGTTGGTTAGACTCAGCGATTCTAGATGCGTGTTCATTTCCAGTCCTTCGAACAACTGCATGAACTTCTCGTCTGAGATATTCTATAACGAAACATCGTCGACTTGGTCAGCGAGGGACAGTGCGCTCTTGGCGAAAGCGGTTGACGCGATACTCACTTTAATATTGTTCCAATTCAAGTCAGTCAGAGTAGAGTCGTCGTCGCGCACTTGTTTGATGGTGGCGTCGACGTCAGTGTCGTTAGGCGGTTCCATGGGATAGACCTTAGGTTGACTAGCCTTCGTCACGCCGTCCCAGCCGAGTCCAATCGGCTGTCCGGTGTTCAATAAGGACGCGTGATATTGATCTTGATTCATCATGGAATGGAATCCAAGAATAGCTGCAACAACGAGACGCTCGTCTTTCTCTACTCAGACACAACGGGCTTCTCAGAAATGATCAAACTCACCAGCAAGATCGATGATTTCTTCTTGGGTGGCTGCCGAGAGCGCTTGTTCGTACTCGTCCCCGAGATCTATCGCGATCTGTTCCTCCGCCTCTTTCTCTTTCACGTTGTCTTGCGGCGGAGGTACCCACTGAAACGAGAGAGATTTTTACAACGTTGAATCTGTCAGACTATATGATGATGGATGTGTTATTGTCCAAACAGCATGCAGAGCTGCCATTTATAATCTGAACATAAAATTCGACTTACTTTCTTGCCTCTGATCACACCAGGTACATATGGCTTCAGCTCTGGAATATCAGGCGTCTCCAGAGCCTGCTTGTTAATATGCTCGATGAGTTTCTTTCGATTTAGCGGTCCTGTGGGACTCTTGTCACATTCGTAACTGCAACGTTGCGAAGGTGGCATAAAGCTGTCCTGTAGACACAATGTTTTAGCTTAGTATCTCAAAGAATAACAAACAGTAAGAATATTATAAGAAATAATATGTAGTTTAAGCTCTGTTCTTTATCGCTCAACTAGTGTACATTTATAGAAAAAAGAAACTTAAAGAAAAACAAGTATATAGTTGCAACTTGATGATAAAAGAGAAGAGAATTAGTGCAAGCTATAGTGCAAACTCTAGTGCAGCTAGTTCAGCAGTAGAAAACAAACTTTTAGTATCTTCAAGAGTAGCGCAACAAGAAATAAGTACGCTGTTAGGTTCCCAAACAAAGAGACATACTCACATCAGGATCTACTTCCTTGGCGAGTATATTGATCTCCTCAGGTGTGAGTTGTGCCAACAGCTCGTCCACGTCAATGTCATCGTACTCACTGAGGTCCTTGCCGTACAACTTGGCTGCTGTCGTCATGGTGGTTGTCTTGGTGGACGAGGAAGTCTGCAAATCGTCCCACGGTTGTTGGTCAACAACTGAATGCTTCCTCGACATTTTCGCGAGATATCACGCGATAATGTACGATTGAACGTGGTGATTCCTTCAATCGACCCTGAGCTACTTTGACTACAACTGCGTTTACCTCCAATAAACGTCTACCCGTTAAATGCAAAATTACGCAACCGCAGAGACGCGCCTACAAATAGCGATTGCATCACCGTAAACAAGGGCCCCGGCACTTGATTGGCGACTCGGGCTAATTATCGTGGCGCCCGTCGAATCAATTATTCAAAGGGCGCATTGACCCGCGGTCGCGGAGGACGCGCGAGCGAGAGAGTGAGCGAGAGAGAAGAACGAAAGAAAGAAAGAAACAGAAGACGTCGATACGGGCGCGCCGCTCCGGAAGGTGCTGACTCGCACGGAACACGACCGCGACCGACTTCTCTTATCGCGAATTGATGAGTAAACGTCGCTGACGAAGCCAGTCGGCGAAATCAATGCCGTCTGCCTAGCCGATCGCGATCGACTGATTCGATCGGCCGATCGGCGATCAGCATCGACACGCCTCGCGTTTAGATTCGGCGAGCGTCCAGCACAGCGGCTGATGCCCCCTGACCCAGATAATTCGGGATCGATTTTCATTGACAACTCGTGTGCCAAATCGGCGGTGGCAGAGCGGCGGCGGCGGCGGCGGCGGCGGCGGTGAGATCGTTGGTCAACGCCGCCAACGCCACCGCCGCCACTGCCACTGCCGGACGCCCGAGAGTCTCGTTGGAACTTACTCGATCGACTGGACACGCCGAGGCGTCCAGCAAGGATGAACGTCTGCGTGACGTGGACCGCCGGATTTGATAATTCAACTCCCGCGAACGTTCTCTCGAGACCACCGAATCCCGCACGACCACCAGCAACACTCCCAACGTTCGGACGCGCACGCTTCACTGACCAACCCACCGCCAGATCGCCGCTGATCGCGCGGCAGCGCCCTTTGACACTGACGATGCGATGTCATGAAGGTCGAGTCGATAGTCGACAGTCGACAGTCGATAGTCGCGCCCGGCGACATGTCCAGACTCGCGTATTGTCGCGGGAGATTTAAACGCGCGCGAGGAGTGCAGAGGTCGCGTGAAATGCGAAATCCTCTTTTATGGTGGCGAAAATGTTCGATCGCACGTGAGAACAGCGCGCGCCGCCGGCCGAACGGTGTTACGACGGACGGGGTATACGTGGCCGCACGAAGGCGGGAAATTCGAAACGGCAGGAGCGCGCGCGCGCATGTGCGGCACCGAAAATGCAAAATATTTACCATAATGCAAGACGAGTTGTGTGCGACGAATGTGTCGAGAACGACGGTGCTCCAGAATGAATTTTCTCTTGACAAGCAACGAATCACGGTAAACCAAGCGCGTGTCGATGAGACTAGTTGCGATCAACTAAAGTGCTTGATAACGAGTTCGCCGATAAAACGCCCGTTATCGAATTATCGTGAAAGCGAAACTGAGAGAAAATGCGACTATGGAGAGATCCTTATCTCTTGATGCGTCAGGTTTAGTGCACGTAGCCCGTGGAATACAATGATATCTCTCCTCGGTCACGCGATGATTGAACGTTTGATGATCTCTAAAAGCTCAATTTATAATGCTCTTCGCTTCCTGTTTTTTGTTCTCCGTCTTTTCCTGGTCTAAAGCCTAATCTACAATGTGCTCTTTATTTTCTGCTTTTGTTTTCTGTTTTTTTTTTAGTTTAAATCTTAAGGTTTGAGAAACCTGAAATAAAGGCAAAGAAACAGGAAGAAAATATCACATTGTCAAGCTTAAAGCTTGATCTACAATGTGTTATAGATTATACTTCTACAATGCGTTATTTACTTTCTATTACTTTTTTTATCTTTTTTTGACTCAAACCTAAAGCCTTAAATTAAAAAAAAAAAAAAAAAAAAAAAAAAAAAAAAAAAAAAAAAAAAAAAAAAAAAAAAAAAAAAAAAAAAAAAAACAGAGAACAAGAAACAAGAAGCAAAGAACACATTAGGCAACATAGATTAAGAGAAGCGCAGAGCACATTAAGACCACATTAAGAGATTAGGCTTACGGCTTGAAGTTTGAATTAGAAAGAGATGAAGAGGGAGAAACAGGAGGCAAAGAGCGCATTATAGATCAAGCTTGAGTCGACTCGTGGCTTTTTTAGTATTTCCCTCGATGCATGGATATTTTGGATTATTTATCAAGTATAATGTATTGCGCGCAGAATCACGCGATGAAATCAAGTCGTCCTCGAGCCTCTCGCTCCTTCTATATATGCAAAGGTCGCGCAATTACCCTTTCCGCTAAATTACACCAAGCATCTTCGGGACTCGCGCCGTTCGCTCTCTCCGCACACACACGTACAGTCGCGTGGTTGTGTTGGAGATTATTATAGCGATGATAACATGATGGTTACAAGAGATATTTATTTACTCATGCAATTATTCGTTTGTTTATTTTACTCGTGTATGTATTAAGGATTTGTTTTCAAATTTACTTCACTTTCATCGTTGCTTTTTATTTCCGTGTTCGCGCTATTTTATTTTATTTCTTTCTTATAATGAAACTGAAGGTTTCTTATGATGATTCTTTTCTTTTCTCGTTAATAAATTATTAATGTGATCATTATGGGAAGTGGACTCGAGTTGTGTAACGCACTTCTTATCTCTCGTACATTTTACTCTCATTTCTTGAAAGAAACGTTGATTCCCGCACCGGAGATCAACAAGAAATCGATCGACTGGTTCTCTGCGCATTGATGCGTCTCTCTTTATCAACTTGGACTTTAAACGTCAACGTCGCTGGCGAAGATCTACATCCAAGAAATGAAGATTTTTCCTCAAATACAAAATTCTATAGCAATTCTTATTGTATACTCCCCCCTCCCCCCTTTCGTGTAGAGTTCTCCTTTTGACTATCAGAATATTTTTCTTCTAGAAGAATTCTCTTGAGAATTCATCTACAAGAGAATCCCACTAAGGATGAGATTCTGTTCTGTTGGATGCGTCTTCTTCGTCGTCGTTTTCGCAACGGCATCGTGTATCGCTCAAGATTCATCGTCCAACGCTTGTAATTTTTTTCAATCACTCGCGAGACCGCTCGTGTTGCTCAGTGAAATTTTCCTCACGCGCCCACACGGCACGTACGTACAGCAATCCGCAGGATCGTGTGTCATCAGCGTGGCGATCGAGCTCTCAGAGTCCTCGTTTCTCGGCTGCGACCGTGAAACCGCCGCGCGACTTGAAGTTGCCAAAACCGGCAATTCCCCTCCCCTCCCGCTTGCACATCGACATCATCATCCGATCTCCCGCTGCTCCTCCGCTCCTGCGGTCATCTACGTAACCTACGGAGTCTCACATTGACATAATCGACCTGACAGCCCGGCGGAGCTCAAGGTCACAGCGAGAGGAAGAGCCGGGCGAGAAGAGGGGGCTGATATGAAAAAGACGGCGGAAGACGATGACGAGCGGGGGAACGGGAGTCACGAGAACGCGGAGATGACGGCGGCGTCGCGACACACGCGACGTTCATGCCAGTCTCGAAGGAGACAGCGGGGCCATCCTCCGTCGACAGTCGCGATCGGAGTGTCCGTCGCGTTGTAGCGCGCGAGCTAGTAGCGGCGACAGCCCCTCAAAAATAGCTGAGGCCTCCTCGCAGGCTGGCACACTCCCAACGGGCTATACTTGGACATACCCGCGCACACGATTATTTATAGTGAGCGAGAGAGCGCGGCCACTGGCCTTCTTACGAACTAACCAACCGGCACCGAGAAGACATCCCGCCGCCCGTGACCTAGGCCCGCATTAATAACGACTCCACCCTTGCGACCACGAGGAACTTAGCACTTTGCACTCGCCGGGCTCGTCGCCGCTTCAACACCTCGCCGCTTCTCTACCTCTCGGCTCGCTTCTCCTCGCGATCTCGGAATGTTGTCGCCTCGAGTCTTTCGGCGTCTTCCTCGTCCTCCCAGTCTCTTCAGAGGCTCTCCTTTCTCCTGTCTTTCTCCCTTGATATCGTAGATCTTTTTTTTTTTCCTGAGCTGAGATACGATATTCTTTGGGCTTGAAGCATTTGCCGTGGTCCTCGAGTCCTTACAAGATTCGTGACTCATTGTTAGAACCTTCAACTGTGATTCACTCTCCTGCTGGAGGAGAGAATCGAGTTTACCACAAGAAAAGTAAAAGTGCTCCTCATTCGTGTGTACAGTAGTCCTCTCGAGTTGACTTTTAGATACATAAGATATGTTTTATATTTCATTTCATTTTACGTATTTTTACATATTTACTGGAATTAGATGGCAAAGACAAGAGGGTATTTCTATTAGCTTCACGGATCGTCAACCTCAAACGTCCCGAAGAAATCGGTCATTTATCACTTTCCGTTGCGCATGGTGATGATGTACAAGCGCGTGAATTAACAGCGAGCAGCCTGGGATAAACAACAGCGAGCTTGAGATGAGCATCTGTGCTTGAAAACGCTCGTACAACTTGAATGAGCTACTAAAAATACACCACTTTTCACGCGGGGGTGCAGGCCGAATATATTTCCCTGTTTTTCTCGCTTGCCCGACCCACCGATTGTAGCTGCAAAAAGATTACGTATACTAGAGTCACCCGTTGGTAAATCGCACCTGTCCGAGATATTTACACGCGAATCCCGAAAATGCCGGTAAGACGATCGCCAAATTCGAGACACTAAAGAATGCACGAGCGATGCAATATCAAGACGGCAGAGATTGATACCGCTCGCCGCTCGAGCTACCTCGACAGACAGTCCCCCGTTCGATTTCCGCGGGGGGCTTTTGATTTGCCGTTTTATCCGATTTGCAAAGTTTCCAAGCCAATACGGTCCGTTGGCAATGAACGCCACGATGAAGTAGGACGAAAATGCTACCGTGACGGCAGGCGCGGGCGCGCGTGTGTTGAAAAACGCAACGAGTTTTTTTCCTTTCGGCCGACGGGAAAGCGAGTCGAGCGCGCCCCCGTCCCGCTCGTTCTCGCTCGGTCACAGACGGAATAACATCGGAAGTTTAATTTCTAACGGCATTCTAATCAGCTGGCAGGCGCGAGAAGTGAGAGCCGCGCGATCGTCGCGCATCGTCGGACACGAGGAGACGACTCCGCGACCGCGATCGTCCTCTCGGTTTTCCTTGTTTCGTCAATTACACATTCGGCCGACCGACGAATCAAGAGGAGAGAGATCCATCGACGAGATTATTAATATGTTAAACGGCGCACGCGCGCTGTAATTCTGCCTGTCTCGCAATTTACGTACGAGACAAAAGCAATTGCACACGAGAAATTAAATATACCATCAACAGCGAGCCGATGGAATCATCGCGATCAGCAGATACATGTTCGTACAACGTAAAATATGTGTATTTATTCAGTATACGTTCGTGTATTTTATGTTGAATGTTTAAATATTCGTATTTGAAGACCAAATAAGAATGTTTAGGATCAGGCATGTGCTCGGATATTGGTTCTTCCACCTTAAGCAAGCCAAAATGACTTCAGATTTACAATAATGGGCTAACTACTCGCCACTCACTAGCATCAGCAATCTACGGAGAGAGAGTTTTATAGTAGAAATTACTGTAGGAGTTTGTAACCAAGAAGTAGATCGACATTTTGCAACAATTCATATTATTCTTTCATTTCATATGTGCTATTTGTATTTTAGATACGAAAATGTGCTATTAAAACACTCTCTATGTTTCTAGCGAAATCTGCTGTGTTTCTAGTGAAATTTACCGTGTTCCTTAACAAGATAAACGTTACTGACAGTCTATTTCTGGGTTACTAAAAATACACTAAAGTTGAGAAGAATTTATATGAAAAAAGAAGCTATATCTAATGACACAAAATCGCTATCGAAACATTTTCTATGTTTCTAGTGAAACCTGCTGTGTTTCTGGTGAAATTTACTGCGTTCCTTAGCAAGATAAACTTTATTGATTGTCTGTTTCTAAGCTACTAAAAATATAGTAAAATTGAGAGGAATTTATATGAAAAAAAGCTATAACAGCAAACGGTATTGATCTAATGAACGCAAAAATCGCAAGATCGAGCGCATTTCGCGTCGCCCTGGTCTGCCGACCGGCCCTCTCCCCCGCGGTTGCGAACGCGAAAACAATTTTTGCACGCTTATCGCGCGATAATAGGAAACGTTGACTTCCCAGACACCGTTTCCTCCGCTCGAGTTCGCCTGCCGTGCTCGGTGTGTACTCGAGTCAAACGATCTTTAAGGTTCGTTTGCGACGTAACGGTCGTTAAACATCGTTTTATGCGGCGTAACGTAGCGCCGCAACGGTTTCCACGCGGCTATACCGCCGCCGCCGGTATTTATGCGCGTCCACCAGCTGGCGGCGAAGAAGTCGCCGGCATCAGGAGACATTGTTCAACGACCTGGAGCGCGTTTCCGCGCGATCGAGGAACGACGCGTCGCCGCTATTGCGATCGATAGTCACGATCGATCGTCCCGTTTGCGATTCGCTTGACTTTTTAATAAGTCGTCAACAAGACAAGGCGATGCGGGGCGAGTCGTTGATGCAGTCGCGCGCGAACGAGCGCCGCATAATTGCCCGCGCGTTCCTCGTAATAACAGTAATAACCGCTACAGATCTCATAAGTCAAGCTGCTCGCGAGAGGCCACGGCGACGACGACGACGACGACGACGACGACGATCGTCGCATAAATCATACTCCCGGGCGCGATTTATCTGGCGCGGCTCGCGCGCTTTACGATCTTCGGCCGTTTTGCTCGCCCGCGGAAGGAGACGCGAATTGCGCGCGTGTGCCAAGCGAGCGGGGGCCGCGTTACACAATGTTCCGCGATTTATCAGAGCCGTCGGAATCGATCGTCGCTGTTGTACTCCCGCAGCAGCCTCACTCTCGTCGGATTATTTTCTTCCGCCGGCGAGACTCACGCGTACGAATTCGATCTGGCCTGTTCCGAAAGCGTCTTCCGATCCCGTTTTTTTCTGATCTTCTCTTTCTCTTCTTCATCTTCTTCTTCTCCTCTCTCTCTCTCTCTCTCTCTCTCTCTGATTCATGTACTTACTTATTTGTGTACAAACAGATTCTTGTTGGCAGATCGCCAGGGGCGCGCAAATTAAAATCGCACGGTACGCGGAAAGCGACGAGAGAAGTTACTTTACCGTGATTGTGAAAGTGTATCGATAGAACGACAGGGACGAGGAGGAGGAGGAAGGAGAAGAAGAAGACGACAACGACGACGACGACGATCGTCGTCGCGATCTGGGTTATCGTGTCAGCTTTTCAGCCGGGCCGAACGACAAACACAGCGGATGTGAAACTCCAGTTAGTAATTAGATCGGCGTCGTGCGCGCGTCCGTAGGTTTTAGAAGACGATTATTCGTGACCGAGTTGAACTGAGAACCCGAGAGAACCCCAAATGACGACGACGACGACGACGACGACGACGACGACGACGACGACGACGGCGGCAGTAACAGATGTGTGACTCAAAAGATCGATGTTAAGTCGGGATCAAATTGGGATCAAATTGGGATTAAATTGCGATTAAATTGCGACTAAATTGAGATCGAAATTGCTGTTAAATTGAGATCACGCGCTCACGAGTGTTAGATAAGTATTTCGGTTTGTAAGCACATGATTATAACGTTACATTGCTCGCGAGTTCTCAGGAGAAGGTCATGAGCGAATTTATCGCACTTGTTGTCGGTTGTCGAGCCTAACTGATTTCTTTTATCCTTTTTTTGCAAAAAAAATCTTCCGCAATTATTCGCATTTGATAAACCATATACTTAATTCTTAGAAAAAAGAAAAGAAAACTGCTATCTTCGATATTTAATTCTAAATTACGACGCGGGCATATCAAAGATCGATGTGATTAAATTGCAAAATTGCAAATGTGATTAAATTGCAATGAATTTAGGATCGAAATCTATGTTAAAGCGAGGTCAAGCGCTCACGGGTGTGCGTTGGATGAATATCTCGATTGAGGTACATCATTACAAGCGTTTGATCAAAGAAAAATATCTTTTTTTCACGAAACATGAATTATTCGCGTTCAACGAAGCCTGCTTGCTCTCAGAAAAAAAAAATGGAGAGAAAACTGCCGGCTCGTGCATATTTGATTCAGGATTACGACGTGGCATATCAATTTGTAGCTTCATCCACTGTGACGTTCGACGGACCGCGTGAATATTCATCTACGGTGCTCCGATCGACTTCCTGTTGAAAACCCTTCTGCAATAATTATTATCAACGGCGGCGTCGAAGCGTCACAATTTTTAATACGGCCTGCACGCCAATACTCCCGACGGTGCGCGACGCATCGCTAAATCGAGCGAATCGGTTGACGAGCACGCGACTGATGACGGAAACGTATGCTCGCTCCTTCACTGCCGTAGGTCAGTGATCGCTGGAATCACTTCCAGTTATTTTCGATCCGGCCTATATGCGACATTTAGAATCGTATTAATAGTCATTACTTGAAACTTGTCTCGGATGAGATACTCAAATATGAATTTAGAATTAGATTCGAATTTTCCACTTGAATCTCACTTGATATATGTGATGTTACATTTGCAATCGAAATTCAGCGGAAAGATTCATATCTAACTCTAAATTCAAGCCTGAGTATCTTATCTGAGGCAAGTTTCAAGTAATGACTATTAATGTGGCTGTAAGAGCCGGTTATTTTAACTTCTTGGAAAATTAATTGATAGTTAAATCATATATCTATCTTTGTCTAAATTAAAGGAAAAACAAAGACAAAGACATTTGATTTAATTATCAGTTAACCTACCAAGAAATTGGAATAACCGACCCTTAGGTCTGTATCAATAATCGTTACTCGAAGTTTGTCTTGTATGAGATATTCGGATTTTTATTCAAAATTAGATTCAAGCTTTCCAGTTGAATTATAATATTATTAATTTAATATAAATATGATATTAATATAAATATAATTTAATTTAATTAATATAAAATATAAATTAAAATTAATTATACGATTTATGCGACACATAAGAGGTAGAATCCACTTACTCAGATTTGAATTTAGAATTAGACGTGAGTTTTTCAGTTGAATTGCTATTGCAAATCTAATATCACATGTATTGATATTGTACAGTTTAGTATTTTTTCAGTTCAATATGATTCGAATAAAGAACTCAAATCTAAAACTTTAAATTCACATTTGAATATCTGAATGACACGTTTCAAGTAACGATTATTAATAGAGGCGTTTAGATCAATTTGCCCGAAAAGAAGCGCGGTTTGTTAGATCGGGGCGTGTATGAGATTAATAAACACGCAGGTGTTTGATCGAATAATCGACCAACCGCGATATTATACCGTTTCAATTATTACAATAATGGACTGCATAGGCATCGACGATATGTGTTTGCAAGCTGATCAAATATTAGCCAATCGTTAATTAGTGACACTCGCTCATTTTGTCCGAATACTGCATGCAAAATACACGCATTATCCGAATGATCGCTATTTATTCGCGGGCCGCAATGGATCGCGCTGCATTATCAAAGCTGTAGCTCGTGAGCGCAATTTGAGAGCCCCACGCGAACGAGCCCGCGAAAAATACCTCGCCGAATTCTATTAGAAAACGTCAAATGGAGACTCCCCTTTTATAAATTTGTAGTTGCATCAATATAACAAGAAAATTATCTTGTTGTATGATGTAAATGTAATGATTAATTCAACACGCAGTAATCTCTGCATCGTAAATATAATTCAAAAAAAATTGTAAAGTCCCCATCATATATCGATTGTCTCACGTTGTGACAATTATGAAAGAATATTTGTATCTTCTTCCCATGAAATCCTCTCATTCCATCGATTTTAACGACGCGACAAGATCGGATATCCTCGAGATGAAGAGTATAATCGATTACGTAAAATTAGATCAAATGTCATGGTGCGCTGTAAAAGGCGGCTCCTCGGTGATCGCCGCAAATGGTGACGTACTTACGCAATGCGCAGGTCGCAGGTAACACGAGAGTGACCGGTGTAAGGATAATTGCGCGTGACACGAGGCGGCTCGCCGAAAGAACGAGGCACAAGATTGCGAGACTGCGGATTTGCGATGTGACGTTCGCTCAGGTAAGACGAGCCGTACCGAGCCGAGCGGAGAGTAAGGAGAGGCACGTGAGCCAAGTCACCGGAGCTCTGGAGTGCTACTAAACAACCGAGTTTTATGCTGGAACCTCGATGAGGAGAGTACCGCGGCCCGACGAGTAGTGGTATTGTGCGCGCGAGTAGCGAAGTCTACGAGCCGGCTGCGAGATCGCGTTCAAACAACTTTCACTTCAGCGCCGCGACCCGCTTCCGCGCACGGCGGGTCGAGTTTTTCCGAGGTTTCCACAAGCTCGAAAACGATCGGTAATCGTTACCCTACGACGATGATGTCACCAAATGTCAGTTTCTCGGCTGTACTCTCCACAATACACTTGCACAATACAAGGCACAACTTCCCGATGAATACGCGATTGTCGCGAAGTAAAATTTGCGTTCCAAAGATCTCAGAGATGCACAAGATGATCAGAAGCCGAGTGTTCGAGAAAAAATAGGACATGGTTAGATGGCATGCAAGTATGTAAAGGCTTGATTAACGTGGTACGTGAGTTTGGATTGATTATAGTGAGTTGAGTATGGGGGATCAGATAGAGGAAATTATGTAGGAATGAGAGAGTGTAGATAGTACGCGAAAGAGAAGGCGAAACAAAGCGTTAGGTAGGAAAGCAGGATTCAGGGCGGAAAAAGTGCATAGATAATAGAGTTTATGGCGTCATAAGGAACAAGTAGTTAGGGCAGTGTAGGTAATGCAAGTAAGCTTCAATTAGACAATGCAGGAAATTATTGATAAAGAAAGTAGCTGGTAATTGTCTGAGTGATCTGAATGCAACTCTTAGACAATTTGTTCTTGCATTGATGCAACAAAAAAAATTTACATTATTATATGATGTAAATTTAATAATCGCTTCAATATAGTATACCAGGTGTAGAAGTATGAAACCGGAATTTTTTTATACAAATAAGACGTCTGTTGTTCGAAAGTGATAAATAATACTTTATTCAAAATAATTTCCACTGTTTTGAACACATTTTTCCCACCTCTCTGGCAGTATATGAATGCCGTGCCAAAAAAACTTTTCATCTTTTGAAGCGAACCAGTTATCTAGCCATTTTTCCACATTTTCATACGAATCGAAGCGTTGGTTAGCGAGAGCGTGTCCTAGCGATGCGAACAGGTGATAATCGGACGGAGCCAAGTCTGGAGAATAAGCCGCATGCGGTAGTAATTCCCAACTGAACGACTCGATCGTTTCCTTGACCCGTTTTGCTGTATGTGATGGGGCATTATCATGGAGCAAAATGACATTGTGTTGCCTTTTTGCATATTCTGGTCGTTTTTTAGTCAATGTTCGATTTAAATCGATCATTTGTTGTTGGTAGCGATTAGTATTGACGGTTTGACCAGGTTTCAGCAGTTCATAGTTCATAGTTCATAGTTCATAGTTCTTCGTTCCTCACGTCAAAATCACCACTTTTGAATTTTTTAAACCACTCGAAACACTGAGATTTACCAAGAGCATATTCACCGTAAGCTTCGACAAGCATTCGATGTGATTCTGCAGCAGTTTTCTTTAAATGATAACAGAAAATCAATGCTGTCCGCAAATCATAGTTAGTAGGCTCGAAACGTGACATGTTTAAGGTTATACAAAAATATACTAGAGAATGAAAGTTGGGGTTATGTTTGTTGACAATATTCGTCAGCTGTTAGGAGAATATAATAGCGCGGCAGTAGCGGTCTTACGGTCACTAAACTGAACGCTGGCACCATTTATAGGGGAATTCCGGTTTCATACTTCTACACCTGGTATGTGTCTCGTAAATGTAAATAAAAAAATTGTGCAGTTTCCACGTCACCGATTATTTTACATTATGATAGTTATGAAAGTCCACGCGGGATATCCAAGAATCTTCTCGTTCACGAGGATAACGAAGAAAGTCTCGGAGAGTGAAGAGCTACGGAAACGTGTAATCTACTCGCGAGAATGCGCGAAGTCGGATTTCCACGCGAATATAATTGAACGTCATCACGCAGCGCTTCCAAACATTGATTTAATCTTATCGTTTTAGTTTTCTTTTCCGCAACAAAAGTGCCTGGTCACCGAGTCGAAGTGACGCATAGTAGTGTCGCGAAGAACCAGTTTTCAAGAAAAGCTGTTGTATAAAATGTAACAGAAAGTTTTTCTTATTGCAAACCAAAAGTATAGTGTCTGAAATATGATACAATGCATAAATAA